GAGACATCTTTGAGAGCTTGGTGCTGATAACACCAAGATCGCTAATGGAGGTGCTCGATGGAGAAGTGGACTTTTCCCATAACAAGAAGAAGTATTATATTGGACAATGTGAACACCCCGTGGATGGTGGCAAGGGAATCTATTGTTTAATTAATTTTTGAGTGGGAAAACCAGAGCTGGTTTTGCTTCTTCTGTGCCATTGTAAATTTTCAGTAAAGTATTATATTCTTGGTCCCAGGAGTTCCTTTTTCTGGAAATGCCAACTGGACAGTTGATGTCTCCCCACTATAGAGCTGCAGGCTCTGCTGTCCCTTATCTGACCATACTCTTGGCAGGGTCTCTGTGCCCAATCTCCCTAGATCTTTCCCACATACCATTAAAATATAAGGGTAGCATATTGTAAGGAGATGATCATTTTTGTTCCAGGGGAGATAAACATCACAGCAAGTGCAGAGGCTGTGAGCTCAAATCAGCTCTGTGGGAATGAAGTAGTGGAGGTGCCCACCATCGGAAACAAAGACGTCATGATCAAGTCACTATTAGTTGAGGTATATGGGATGCTTTAAACCTGGGCTGGGTAATGAGGGGATACAGATTTCTGAGTAAAGCAGTGGTGGATATCTATGCTAAATGTCGGGGAAGATGCTGAGGAAAATACCAACAGCTGGCAATTTATCCCAGATAGTAGAGCTTCCCAGGACAAGAAGAGAAGGTATGAGATCACCTATCTGAGCTCTGGAGTGTTGCTCCTTGGGAGAAGTCTGATAAGATCTGAAGGGAAGGGATCTTATCAGTGATCTGTTTGCCTCCCCCCCTTTCACTTTCTTCTTCTTTGGATTACAAATTTTACAATAGAAAAAATGGCTACTATAAGAAAGGCAACAAAAACAACAGAAATGACAACAACAAGAAGGGGCTTTTTAAAGAAAGCCAGCAAATGATAGAAAAAAGGGATTAGTCAAGACTTTACATAAAATAACACTAGTACTAGCACTTATATACCGTTTCACAGTGCTTAACAGCCCTCTCTAAGCAATTTACAGAGTCAGCATATTTGCCCCAACAGTCTAAAAGAAGGCAAATGACCAGCTGTCTGCAAGGAATATAAATCCTTCCATTTCCAGTCAGAGCTGAAGAAGTTTCTTGGATGAGAAGCGAAACGTCTTCAAAGAAAAATAAGACAGTCTAGTTGCCTCCTGAAAAAGCACCTTTGGGATTTCCTGTTGGTGCTTACCTACTTAACTCAGATGTTATTTCTACAGTGACTTTTTTTTAAAATGATTCTAACACTCATGTTCACCTCCCCCTTTTTCCTTTCTTTTCTATTCTGGTGAAGCCTGAAGGGATCGAGAAAGAAGTGGTCTTCAACTCTCATCTCTGTGCAGATGGTATGTTGCGCCTGTAGACACAGATAGTAACTTACTTGAAATGCTCTTTTTTTAAGTACCTCCTTCAAAAGAAGATCGCCACCTCCCAAACCCAGGCATTCATGAAAGCCTAGATAAGGAGTGTCAAACTCGCAATGTCACGTGATGTGTCGTGACGTATCGTGACTTTTTTTCTATTGCTGGCAATGGGATGGGTGTGGTTTCAGCTTGACGCATCTGGCCTATGGGCCGGCAGTTTGACACCCCTGGCCTAGATGTCCATGGAGATTCTCAGTCATCCAGGTCATAGTTATCTTAAAAATGCTTTTTCACGAGGCAAGTGGACTTTCTTGTTTTCCTTTGAAGACGTTTCACTTCTTATCCAAGAAGCTTCTTCAGCTCTGAAGCTTCAAAGCTGAAGAAGCTTCTTGGATGAGAAGCAAAACGTCTTCAGAGCAAAACAAGAAAGTCAAGTTGCCTCGTGAAAAAGCATTTTTGGGAAAGCCTAGATGAGAGGAAGGGGGGGGGAATGATATAAATATTGGACATAGTCTCTTGAATAATTTGACTCCTGCTAAAATCACTACTGTAGCTCAGCCTTCTAAGCAGTACGTTGCACCAAGAGTCCAGTCAGAATAGCAGTGCCAAATGCACCCTGGTCTAAATTCTGTTTCTTTTTTATAGGAAAACCTAAGTCCGAATCTATTCCCCTGTCATTACCGGAAAATGTTGTTGAAGGCTCAGCCAGGGCCTCCTTTTGTGTGCTGGGTAAGTGAGGTTGCTATGCTACTCATTTTGGAAATTAATTCTGTCTTTGGGCACTCCTGCATAAAGTCCCTGGGTCAGTCCAGAAGCTGCTCCCATTACATATACAAATAGTCCTTGACTTACAACAGTTCATTTAGTGACCGACCGAAGTTACAACGGCATTGAAAAAAGGGACTTACGACCATCTTAAAATCAGTTAAGTCAGTAACTGACTTAAGAGCCATGGTGGCGCAGTGGTTAGAATGCAGTACTGCAGGCTACTTGTGCTGACTGCCGGCTGCCAGCAGTTCGGCAGTTCAATTCTCACCGGCTCAAGGTTGACTCAGCCTTCCATCCTTCCAAGGTCAGCAAAATCAGGACCCAGATTGTTGGGGGCCATAGGCTGACTCTGTAAACTGCTTAGAGAGTCTGTGAAGTGATATATAAGTGTAAGTGCTATTGCTATTTTCTACACTTGACGGTTACAGCATCCCTACAGTCATGTGGTCAAAATTCCCACACTTGGCAACTGATTCATATTTATGATGGTTGCGACCTTCTGACAAGTAAAGCCAATGGGGAAGCCCAATTCACTTAACAACCGTGTGACTGACTTGACAATAGCCCCAATTCACTTAACAATTGTGGCAGGAAAGGTCGTAAAATGGGGCAAAATTCACTTCACTGTTTCGCTCAGCAACAAAAATGGTGAGCTCAATGATGTCAAGAACTTCTAGCACAGTGGTGGCGAACCTATTGCACATGTGCCAGAGGCGGCACTTAGAGCCCTCTCTGTGGGCACACGTGCAATGCCCTGGAGATGGCAACCATCCCTCTTCAACCAACTGTATACATTAACAGTGCCAAAATTTGTAATGGCGTAATGAGGGGGAAATGGAAAAAATATGGAGAAGAAAGGCAGATCAGGGAAAAATACTGCATTATATAGTATTGAACATATTTATAGTGAAGACGTTAATGTTAAATATTTGAACCCAGACAACATGTTATTTACTAAGCATTAAAGACTGTATGTCATGGTTCCAACAGATGAAACTCTTCAAAGAACTTCAAGGCATTGTTTACCTTAAAGAATCTTTATTCGAGTAGCATAACTTCGGTACTTACATAGTCAAAGCCAAAATCTGAATTCCCCTCCCCTGACCACATAGTATCAAAGCACAATTCCCTCCTCTAATTCACGGTCATAAATCAGATTCTCCAATTAGTTTGAAATGCAGGCTCTCCCTCCAGTTCTCCAGCCCGCCAATTCTTATCATCTCTTATTTCAATAATTTTGGTTCACACACTAGCTACAGTATTGTTAGGTCTAACTAAATTCCCATGCACATTCCTCCTCCCTCCCCCAGTATCATCTAATTCTAACTCTAATTCTAAGAGTAAAACACAAGAAGGAAAATGGTTGCAACTCCATATGTTGTCAAAGCAAAAACATCTGACGTTAGCAACGTTGACACTGTAATTTTTTAAAATTAATAAAACTTTTATATATATATAAAAAACAACATTGGCAAGATCATCTATGTCATCTGTCCTCTTTCCCCATCTCAGGAGACGTTCTCGGGGGAGCAATACAGAACCTCCACCAGCTTCTCAAGATGCCCTACGGCTGTGGGGAGCAGAACATGGCCCTCTTTGCCCCCAATATCTACATCCTGAACTATCTCAAAAAGACTGGACAACTGACCGAGGAGATCAAATCCAAGGGCATCGGATATTTAGTGGCTGGTGAGAAGCTTCCCACAGGAATTCTCCCCTCATGCTTTCCCTATTGCAGTTGGGAGCTTTCAAAGGCTCGATCCACAGATTAGTCACTGGTATCGATTGAGGAGGTTGTAAATTGGACAAATTAGGTTGACTGAGACACTTGGGACCTTTTCAGAGGTTGCGAACAAGATACGTTAGTAATATAGAGAACCCTTTTAGTGTGTGGTTAAGAAACCAGAAGTTTGTGATCTCAAAGGTGCATTTTTCATGAGGCAACTGGACTTCCTTGTTTTTCTTTGAGACGTTTTGCTTCTCATCCAAGAAGCTTCTTCCGCTCTGACTGGATGGTGGGGAATGCAAGGATTTATACTTCTTGCTGACGGCTGGTCATTTGACTTCTTTTAGAGGGTCATTGAGGCCACCTGGAGGTTTATCTGTGTTGTCAGGGTCACCTAAGTGGTGCAAATGAGCATGGAGCCTTCTTAGAAGTGTTGAAAGGACTGTGGGGCAGACCGAGATAGACGATGACGTATCCCTCCCCCTCTGTTGGGAGAGGGCTGTTCAGTTCTGACATAGATGGCCTCTTTGACCCTTCTTTCAAACCAGCTTGGATGAGAAGTGAAACAAACATCTTCAAAGAAAAACAAGAAAGTCTTGTTGCCTCGTGAAAAAGCACCTTTGGGATAACTATGACCTGGATGACTGAGAATCTCCATAGACAAAAGACTGTGAGTTCTAGTATGGCCTAGGCATGAAAAACTGGCTGAGTGATTTGGGGCTTGTCACTCTCTCTTGGCTTAACTCACCTCAAAATGTTGGTTGGGGAAAATAGAAAAGGGTTGTGTGGATGATAAAACAAGGAAGGAGTGCATATTTTACCATTTTGAATTTCTTATAAAAAAGTAAATGAGGTATAAAAAAATCTAATAAACAAATAAATACATAAAATATTGCTCAATGGCTTGCTGTTCTGGACAATCCAGAATAGTAAAATAGTAAAAAATTAGAATGAATTACAGTTTAAATATGGAAGCTCCGTTGAGTGTTTATGCAAAGAGAAAAGAGGGTTATAGGTGTAATGGTAAACAAACAAACAAAATGTGTAAAATTTAGGAACACTGAACATTAATTTCAACTTCCAAATAAAAGTCCAGGATAATTTTCATTTTTGAAAAGCTGTTTATTGAATACATGGCCTGGTAAAGGTGAGGTAAAACTAACTCTAAAATTCTAAGGCATCAGACTATAGCACATAACAATGACTTTTCCAGTCAATCCCCCCTCCCAAGATGTCCATGTAGCTCATGTAAACAAGTTTTCTTTGTTATGGGACTCATCTGCTATCTTCTTCACACCTTCTAGAACCGAGGTCCCCAACCTTTTGGGCACCAGGGACCAGTTCCATGGAGAGAGGTTTTTCTGCAGACCAGAGGGGGCGTGGTTTCATGTACTGCCTGCATCCCGTGGATGGGGCTTTGCTTGTTTGCGTGGACTGGTTTTTGGTATGCTGTGGCCCAGTGCTGGTCCACGCACTGGGGGTTGGGGACTCCTGTTCTAGAATGTCCTTGAAAGTTTTACATACTGCCGACTTTCAGCAAGCTTCTGTAAAACTGGAGAGGTTTCATTTCTCTAACTAACTCATTCAAAAACAACACCTCCCTCTCCCCTTATTTTAATGGCAAGTTGAAAACAGAGAAGCAGGTAACTGCCAACTTTTCTTTTTTTTTTAAAGGAAAATTTTATTGATTTTCTAGTTTTACATTTGAATATTTGAAAAGCAATGTGGCAGCTGAGTTGGTCAATAATTCAATAACATACAATTATCGTTAGTACAAATCTCAAACTGTTACATTCAAGATTTCCTCTGTTTTCCCCTTGGTATTTACTGTCTCATGTTTAAATTAATACAATTCCTATTATATCGATTAAATAAAAATAACTTTCTTACATTTATCAATAATTTTTGTTTATACATATCCTAGTTGTTTTAACATTCAATTTTTTTTAAAGACAATCAATGTCCTGGTTAGTTTTTCCCAATTTTTAGTTTCCCATTAATATTTAGATTTAATGTTTAATATTTATAATTTCCAAGTTTTAAATAATCCCAATTCCCTTTATCACAATTCATCACAAGATCTAATGTTCAGGATACATGTCTTATCTATTTAAATTCTCGCCATCTTACATCAACCAATTAATAATACAACATAATATTCTTATTTTCTGGTAATTTCCAAATAACTTAAATTTAGTGACCAAAACTTCTCTTATTTCAACGTTTAATACTTCCTCTCTTTTTCTCTTAATATCTACTATCTCATATTTATAATAATAATAATGATAAAGTTGGAAGGGACCTTGGAGGTCATCTAGTCCAACCTCCTGCTCAGGCAGGAAACCCTATACCATTTCGGACAAATGGCTGTCCAGTTTCTTCTTAAAAACTTCCAGTGTTGGCGCATTCACCGCTTCTGGAGTTAATAATTAATAATTTAGTAATTTTTATTATAACTGCCAAATTTTCACTCTTGACAATTAAGCACCCAGCTGCCAGAGGTCGGTCTCCATGAGATCATAAGGAAAACCTTTGGGGAGGGGGAGGGGTGGTGGTGTAGTGAAGCAGACTGAATAATATTCCAGATTTGATTTGGAGATCCAAAGCCAATTTGGTTCAATTTCTAAGTCAAACGGACTTTTGGAAATGAATCACAAGCTTGGAATGAAATATTTCAGTTGGATTTGGAAACGCACATGCTGCTCGGCTTGGCTCTAATTTTCTTTTTCCACTTCAGGCTATCAAAGGCAACTGAACTACAAGCATCCGGATGGTTCTTATAGCACTTTTGGGGAAAGTTCAGAGGAAGGGAACACTTGGTAAGATTTCTTGGTTCCTAAGGTAGTATTTCTCAAACTTTCTACAATGATGGACTAACTGAATTAACATTCAGAAAATTCAGGAGCCATCGTGTAAATTTATATTTTTCATCAAACAAGAAATAAAGATCCTTTATGAAGTAAATGAA